GGGGTCTTTCAGGTCCAGTATGGCTTGGACAGACTCCAAATTTTCCATCCAGCCAACTCTCTCCCAATTATTTGCCCTGGGCCCTCCCCCAGGCCCAGTCTTCCCTCCCAGCCAGCCAGTAGCAGGTGCAAGTTGGGGGCAGCTCCCTGTTCCCTCCTCAAGCCCCCAATCCTGCTGCCAGGGAGGGCTCAAAGTGTGGTGGCACTACAGGGTGTGTTTTGTGGGAGCGGAATTCCTGGATGGAGTCCATGTGAATCTAAACAACCATAGGGTGAGGGTGGAGTGGGAAAAGCCCTAGGGGAATGGGGGTGGTGGTTGGAGAGCCTGGTTTCTGGTCTTAATTTCCACCAATTCACTGTGTGTCCTTGGACAAGTCTGGGCTTCAGTTTTATTTTCTTGAAAATGTGTGTGTGCACTGGAGTAGCTGTGGGGCTAACTCATCTCAGGTCACTTTCAGCTCCAGGGCCCGGGTTTTGGAAGCAGGCTCCAGGAAGAGGTGTTGTAGGTTTCTTAGTTGTGAGTGAATAACTTCAGGTACAGGAACAAGGTCACGCCCTTCAGAGGCATCTGGTCAGACCTGTGTCAGCAGGCACAGACCCCCAGCCATTTCTGGGTGCAGGTAGAGCCCCAACTCCCTGCTACCAGAATCGTGCTTTGCCCATATTCAAGGCTTTGACCTTTCCAGAGCCCCTTCCTGCATATCATTTCCAACTTGGAAGGAGAGCTGCTCCCATTTTACAGGTCAAGCAGCCAAGGATAACTAGAACTGGGTATCTATCTTGTGTTCAGCATTTTACAGCCAAAAACAGTTTTGAACCCTGTGAAGTAGATGGCATTAATAGCTCCATGTCGCAGGGGAGAACTGAGGCTCAGAGAGAGGATGTCACCTGTCCAAGGCCATGTAGGGAGACGTATGACCCACAGGCAGGTGATCATTAGTCTCTTCTCTGCAGCCTTGACCTTCCCCAGTATGGCTTAGCTTGGGAGCTGGGCACTCCCCAGGGCTGGGCTCAGTGGCTGGCCCTGGTTCCTCTGGCCAGCTGCTTTCAGGCACCCAGGCGGAGTTTCAGCAACAGCTGTGGTTTTGAACTGCTGCCCTCCCAGAGGAGCCAAGTGCATCTGTTTGTACCTCCCCCCCAGAGGGGCTCAGTAATCACAGCAAGAATGGCTCTCTTTTTCTGAAAGCCTGTTGTGTGCCAGGCACTGCTTGTCACTCTTCATTGGTTATCTTGGTCAAGATTCCTGGGATGAGGCATCTTACAGATGAGGAAACTGAGCAGAGATGTGAAGTTACTTGTCCGAGAGCCAAGAGGTGGGAGAGTCTCCTTGCATCATACCACCCTAAAGGCCTACCAGGCCCAGAGTCCCTCTCCTGTCAGTCCTCAGATGCATGGTACCCCCAGCCCTGTGTGCAGGCCTTGGCCCCCTGCTTACTCATTTTACTAGGGTGTGACCTGGAGCAGCTCCAAACCCAACCCTGGGTGTGGCCACTTGCTTTGTGGCCTGGCTGCAAAGTGCAGGGTGAGCAGGATTTGTCAGTGAGCTGCTGTTTAAAGGGACCTCAGGCACTGCCCAGGGATGGCAACCAAGTTCAATGGCAGAATGAGGGCCAGAGCCCAGGCTTCTGTACTCCCTGTGGAGTGCTTTTTCCACCACTCTCTGGAGAAGGCTTGGGATGATTATCTGTTGAGTCCCTAACCAGCCTGGCACACTGCACCATTGTCTTTCATACCTGCAGGAATCTGTGAAGAGGGTGGGATTCTGCACTGCTCTCCCTTCCTTTTAATGTCGCTATGTTTTCCAAATTTCCTCTGAGAATCATGAAAGAAAATCTTAATGAACAACCCTACAAGGTGGGTCGGTTGAGGAAATGTGGGCTTAGAGGGGTGAGGTAGTGGATCCCAAGCTGGGATCTGGAAGTGAGGCTCCCCACCAAGGCCTTACACTTGCTCCTGCCCCCATTATCTCACCTAGGACTTGGGCCTAGGAGAGGCCTGGCTCTACTCCCTGTGTGACCTTGGGCGAGTCACTTCCCCTCCAAGCCCCAGTTTCCTCACCTTGCTGCCTGTAGAGGGGTAGTGTCTGGTGGGCTCTGGCCTCCTCTGGGGCAGCCTAAGAAAGGAGCTCTGCTCATCTCCCTTGGGATTGGCTGGGTGGCTTGGAATCTTAACCTGGCCTTTAAGAAACAGCCAATGGGGCTACCTAAGAGGGTGCAGGATAGATCCAAGCTGGCCCCTGGGTGTGGTCCCAGACTTTTGCTCTTGGCACATCCCTGTCTTTTCAGTGTACCTCTGAACTTTCCCCCTCCTGGTGCCCCTGGGGCTTTAGTGATAACAGCTCCCCTGTGTGAGCAAAGTGCTTTGTTGACTGTCTCACTAAATCCTCAGCAGAGGCCTAGCAGCTTATTCCCATTCTACAGGTGGGACTCAAGAAGTCAACTGCCTGGGCCAGTTCACCCAGCTAAGAAGTGGGGTGGGAGAGCTAGATGGAACCCAGGTGGGTCTGACTCCAAGGCTTGTGCTCAGCCTCTCCTTGGTCCTCACGTCCTGGGCTTGTCCTCTGCTACTTGTGTTCTGCAGGCTCAGGCATGAGCTGACCTTTCTCTGGGCAGTGCACAAAGGTGTCAGATGTCCTTGGGTGAGGGACACTTTGCTGCTTGGGGACTGTGAGAGTGCAGGATAAGGGCGAGAGAGAGTGAACAAAAGGGAGAGGGCTGGTGTGTGTGTGTGTGTGTGTGTGTGTGTGTGTGTGTGTGTCAAGTAAAGTGATGGGAACAGATGGGTATAGCTAGGCCTTGGCCCAAATTCCAGCGGATTCTGAGGGAATGTGTGTGGATGGAGCTGAGGCAGGCTGGTACATGGCTTTGGAATCAGACCTGGGTTCACACTCTGGCTCTGCCCTTTGTCTGTGTGACCCTGGGCACATGGCTTAACCTCTCTGAGCCTCTACTTCTCTGCCAAGAGAGATTGCCAATACTGATGTTGCAGGACTGATGAACACATGATAGGCCCAGCACAGGTACTCTGTTCAGGTCATCCCTTCCTTCTCTCCAGTCTGCAGGTAGTGAGGTTCTTCCTGGTACATTCTATGAATTTAGCAGGGGCTGGCTTCTGTCGGGTAGGGGAGGTCATTGGGGTTGGGGAGATTCTGGGTTGCCCTACCTCTGTCTCAGATAGAACTCAGCCTGACTTCCCTTCTGTTCTCTGCCCTTGGCATTCCTTTTGAAGGATTGGATGAAGGATTCTGGGATCAATAACTTTGATCTGGATTGATAAAGGCCTTGGAGCTCACCAAGTCTCAGTTACTTGAGCCGTAAAATGGGGGTTAGTGGTGTTGGGAAGATTCAGTGAGGTGATGAATGTTGGGGCATGGACCAGGGCATGTGGATGATCTTGGTGAACGACTGGGCCATTTTCTAGAGACAAGATGGGGCCAGAGCAGGTCGCCTTCCCTGGAATCTAGGATATGATCAGCTGGGAGGTTAGAAAAGGAATATTCCAGAGAAACTTAAAGAGGAATGAGCAGACAGGCATTTGCATTATGTCCAGGTCTGAGTAGGTATGGAGGAGAGAAATATCATATTTAGGCTGCTCAGATCAATCCAGGAAGACTTCCTGGGGGGGGGGGGGCAGAGGGGACCGTAGAGCAAGAAGAATTGTCATCACTTCCCACACCTGTCAGCCCAGCTGTGCTCAGCAGCGGTTAGAAGCATCAGCCCTGCCGAGCATGACCTCACCGCCAAAGGTTAAAATAGGCCTCTCTGTCCCAACCAGGGTAAGGCTGACTGGGGGAGGGGGAGAGGAAGAAAATAGACTCAGCAACCCCCAGAAGAGTGTGTCAAGAAAGAGGCTGAGATTGGGTTTTAGAGAAAGGACTGCGTTTCCTGAGCATCTAATGCATGCTGAGCCACTTTCTGGCTGAGCACTTTCTGCCCCATTTTACCGAAGAGGAAACTGAGGCTCCTAGAAGTGGAGCATTTCCCCAAATCACACAGTGAGCTGGGAGGTGCAAGCCCAGGTCCCTGACCCCAGTGCTGCAGTGCCCCAGTGCCCTAGCCCTGCCCCTGCCCAACCCTAACTAGGAGAGAGGCCCCTTCCGGGCCAGTGCAGCTTCTGGTCCTAATGGGGCGGGTGGCACTGGGGTGTAGAGGAGCAGATGGGTCTGTGGTTTGATTTCCCCAGCAGGTGTTTCCCAAGCTTGGCGGGAACAGGGAGGGGGAGCAGGGGGACCTCAGCTGCTTGTCCTTAAGACAGGGGAAGGATTCATTGTCTGTCCCTCTCCACAAAGAAAGAATGGCAAATGGAGTCTATTCAGGAGGCTCTGGGGCCCTTGAGCTGGAGCCCAAACATGGGGGTGGGGGATGTTTGCACTGCTTCCCAATGTGGGCACCTCCCTGAGGTGTGGCACCGATCCAGGAAGTCCCCTGGGCCTGGGCGGATGCCCGGCTCCACCCTGATAAGGGCCAGCTGTGGGGCTGTGATGGGCACCCAGTCTGGCTGGGCCAGCTGCTTCTGCGGGGGGGGGGGCTCTCCCCAGTCTGATGTGGTTTAGGCCCCACCCACTCCTTCCTGCATCATCCTCTGTACATGGAGGGGAGGGGGCAAATGTAGAAGTGACCTTGTGGCCTGTTACTAAGGAACTCTGAGCTCTTGGCCGGACTGGCTTTGGTAGGATCTCAAATGCCTGGGCCTCAGAGGATGGGAGTATTGTGTGCCTCTCAGAAAATAGGACTTCCTTCCCTCACAGGTCACTTTTCAGGTCATTGATATTTCCTTACCAAGTATAGTGATGTTTCACCAGGACTAGTGGTAAACTGAGGCAGGAAGTGTCTGCTGGTGGCCTCAGTGCTTTGGCTCTACATTGGGGAAAGGCTGAAGGACAAATGATTCTCAAACTCTGCCTCTCTCTCCAAGGCCAAAAGGAAGCTGGACCTGGAGGGGATCGGGAGGCCTGCGATCCTGGGATTCCAGACTCCCAAGGGGAAGTACATTAGAGTGGATGGCTTCCCCAGCCCTAAAAGTAAGTTGTGCTGATGGGGCATCTGGGGACGGACTCAGGAGACTGGGGGTGGGGTGGGCAGGGGCAGAGGGCAGCAGCCCTACCCAAATCATCAGGAGTAATATTTGTAGCACACTTCCTGGTGTATAAAACAGTTTCCTGTACGTTCCCTCTGGATCCTGCCAGGTAGGCAGGATTACCCCTCTTTTACTGATGAAGCAACTTGGGACTCAGAGCTTGAGTGTCTTGCCCAAGGTCACTCTGCTGGTAAGTGGAGTCCAGACTACAACCTAGTCTTGTATTGCTTCTCTCACACTATACCCTGCTCCTGGATTCTAAATGTGATGACCAACGATTTGTTTGGGAACTTACTATTTTTGTTCAACCTGGCCTTTTCTAAAGAGAGAATCCAGTGCAGAGAGGAGCAGAGTCTTCCTCCCACATTCAGACAGAGAGCTAAATAAGGGATTCAGGGAAGTGAAGCTTGGGTCAATCCAGCCCATGCTACCTCAGAGTTTTTTAAGATTCAGAGGCTGCCCAGGTAGTGACTCCCTAAAACTAAGGTGGAGGGATTTTCTGCCTCGATATTTGCAATTAATATTCTGGTTAGAGTGGGATTCAGCACCTGTGATAGGGAGGAAGACTAATTTTGGGGGGTCAGAGGCCTAATGAAGAAGGTATGTGACTGGGTGGGAAGCATGAGGGTCAGGCATTTGGGGACCCTGGCAGGGCTGTGGCCATTCCTCTTCTGTGAACCCTAGTTGTCTCATCTGTAAAACGAGGTACAGCTAGATCAGGAATAGCATGAAAGTTTCCTTTCCAATTGATTGGTGGAAGCTGTCCAGAGCTCTTTATCAAAGGGTACTAAGTGCAGTTATCAATTAGTAATGTCTGCCATGGGTGCAAAAATTGAAAAAACAGCCAGTGTGCCAAATACTTGTCATCTGTATGTTAAGGGTTCTTAAAGTCTCCTTCTTGAGGAATCTGAGACTAAAACTCAGTTTCCTGAACTAGTTTGGACATTAACTTGCTCTGTGACTTGCAAGTGACTTGATTGCAAAAGTTCTCTTGTGGTTTAAGATGTTGCAGCTGAGATGTGGTCTTGTGACATCAACTTCATTAAGAAAGGGACCTTTTCATGAACCTGTCCCATTTGATATTGTAGGATTCATCTCAGATAACCTTGGGCTGCATATAGAAAGAAAAGGCAAGTCTATAAGAATGTTCTCAAATCCAAGCTCATCATTCCCTCCCTAATCTAATTCCAAATTCCTGACGTAACTGGCAGGATAGGGTAATGGTTAAGAAGGAAGACTTGGAGCCAGACTGCTTGGATTTTAATTCCAGCTTTGCCACTTTCTAGCCGAGTGAGCTGAGCAAGTTACTTAACCTGTCTGTGCCTCAGTATTCTCATTTATAAAATGGGGATGGTTATACACCAAATTTATAGAATGCTATAAGGATTAAATGTGTTGTATATGGAAAGTGCTTAGAACAGTGACCTACATTCAGTAAGTATTTGCTGGTGTTTTGTTGTTGTTTTTTAAATATATCTTTATTGATTTCTGAGAGAGAGAGGGAGAGAGAGAGAGAGAGAAACATCAATGATGAGAGTCATTAATCGGCTGCCTCCTGCATTCCCCAGACTGGGGATCAGGCCCGCAACCCAGGCATGTGCCCTGACCAGTAATCAAACCGCGATCTCCTGGATTCTAGGTCGATGCTCAACCTCTGAGCCATGCCTGGCCAGACGCTCTTGTTGTTGTTGATGGTGGTGATATGGCGGCCCTAAACTGTGGTGGAAAGGTCCTCTGAACCAGGAATTAGGACACTGGTTTCCAGCCCTGACATTGCCCTTGACTGTGAGACCTTAAGCAAATCACTTGCCCTCTCTAGGTATCAGGCTCCCTGTTTGGACAATGGTAGTGAATGACCCCCTGCCTCACAGTGCTCTGTAACTGGAAAGTGGGTGCCCATGTGAAGGGTGGTACTGAATGGGTCCAGGACAATGGAGGATGCTCCTTAGTCTGGCCTCTCAGCAGTGACTGGGTCCCTTTCCTCCTCAGCACCCAAGTCCCCTGGGGAGAAGACTCGGTATGACACATCACTGGGGCTGCTCACCAAGAAGTTCATTTACCTCCTGAGTGAGTCCAAGGATGGGGTCCTGGACTTGAATTGGGCTGCTGAGGTGCTGGACGTGCAGAAGCGGCGCATCTATGACATCACCAACGTGCTGGAGGGCATCCAGCTCATCCGCAAGAAGGCCAAGAACAACATCCAGTGGGTGTGAGTGCCAGGGCTGGGGCTGGTGACACCCATGGGTGCACATGCTGGCGGTGGAGCCAGGAGCGAGGGCTGAGAGCAGCATCCAATAGGCACACGTGCTAGGGCCGGAGCCAGTGTATCTAACACGATCTCCTGGACCCTAGGGCGGTGCTCAGAGCGCTGCGGAAGAGCAGGTGTATATGGAGGAGCAATAGTAGGAGGGCAGGGCAGGGGCAGGGTGGGGAATGCTTTCTAGTATGTGTAAAGCCAAAGAGGACTGCATCCTCCAGTCAGGGATCCCAAGATTTCCCTCTTCTAGTTTAGGGAAGTCCCCTGGGAGCCGAGAAGTAATAACCCAGACTCCTTCCAGCTCAGAGATGAGTGCTCCAGGCTCCTCTCCTCACTTCTACAAAGTCTTAAAGAGCAGCCCTGCAGCCCCTGGCATGAACCCTAAGATAACCCAAGCAGGAGGTCAGGACTGAGGTCATTCTAGCTCCCTGCCATTTGGGGGAAGCTGGGACAGGGTGGACAGAGTTGAAAGCCCGCCACAAGTGGGGTCATGCCCTGATTTGTTTCTTTTCCCTAGCGCAACCCCCCAAACCTCAATGTTCAGTTCCTGGCAGCTCCCTGGAAGCTAGACAGGACTGCTGATTTGCACAACCCAGGAGCACCCTTGGGGACCATGTGAATGGCCTCATCCTGGGGTGTTACACCATCTGTGCAGCTCTGCACAGCAGTCCTTGGGTTGGGGTCCCTGGTTGTGGACCAAGACTGACGCTGAAGGGCTGCTCTGTTACAGGGGCAGGGGAGCTTTTGAAGACCCCACCCGGCCTGGGAAGCAGCAGCAGCTGGGGCAGGAGCTGAAGGAGCTGATGAGTACAGAGCAGGCCTTGGACCAGCTCATCCAGAGCTGCTCTCAGAACTTCAAGCACCTGACCGAGGACAAAGCCAACAAGAAATATCCTCTTTGGATGGGAGGTTGTCAGGGAGCTGGGGCCTGCTTCATGCTCATATCTACCCAGAGTTGATACAGTGCCTCCCTCAGGGTCTGGCACATCTGCATATCTGCTTTATCCTTTCTGGGGGGCTATCCCTCCTGACTCTATTGAAGTTACTTTCTCATAGTAGAAGCAAGACAAGTACATTTCTTTAAACCTGCAAAGTGGAGAAAAGAGGAATAGCTGCTACCATAACATAGCCATTGTCCTTTAACCATACACAGACTATTATTTAAATATAGCCTATGACTGCTGTACGTAACATTTTACATCCTGCTTTTCTCCACTTTGCATATTACCAAAGACAGTTACGTGGTTACAAATCCTTCCTCACTATTTGGTTGAGCCATATGAAATGGTTGATATTGAACCTTTTTTTAAAAATATCTTTTTATTGATTTGAGAGAGAGGAAGGGAGAGAGAGATGAGAGACAATCATTGACCTACTGCCTCCCACATGCCCCCTACTGGGGATCAAGCCCACAACCCGGGCATGAGCCCCTACCAGGAATCGAACCCTGACCTCCAGGTTCATGGGTTGACGCTCACCCATTGAGCCACACTGGCCAGGCCTTGAACCATTTTTTATCTATAAAAACAGCAATCTCATGTGGTTTACCTAATATTTAAAATAGTTTGAGAATGTCTTACTCAGATTACACTCTGGTTTGTTGATAAGGCCTGAAATCAACATTTAGATCTGTTCTGGATTTCTGCTTTTATGAAGTGACACAACAATGAATCCCTTCGTATATAGAATATTTTCCTATGTTTTAACTTATTTCCCTAGGTCTTAAGATTAAAATGATCAGATCACAGAGCATAGACTTTGCTAAGGTTTTTCATATATTTTTTCCAAATAGTTTCATCATCTAATTGGTTTTGAGATAGGACCTTGTATTTTTAGAAGGATGCTAGGCATTGTGAGAAATTTAAAGAAATAAGACATGTCTTCCTTACTGAAAATCAGCAAGTGCAATAAAGACAGAATTACAAACAAAAAAAGAGACATGTCTTCCTGTCTTCTTTAGTTTGAGAAATGAAGCCTTTTATGTAAATTCTGATAAAAGGCAGCATTAAAAAAATGATTTATATCCTCATTTGCTTTCTAAAGGGATCCAAAGTAGCTTATGATATTAAAAGGACAGGTTGCAGTTTGGGGTTATTTCTAAGCTAAATAAGCAGTGAGAAGAAATGTTCAGAGGCCTGGGAGAGGTGGGTTGGATCCATGTTTGGAGGGCTGGGGGTGTGAATTCTGACTTTCCTTGACTTTCCTGCCCCCTACACTGGCCTATGTGACTTACCAGGACATCCGTGCTATTGGCACCTTTAAGGAGCAGACAGTGATTGCTGTCAAGGCTCCTCCGCAGACAAGACTGGAAGTGCCCGACAAGAGCGAGGTGAGAGGGGAAGTATTTGGTGGAGAGCAGGGTTAGGAGGGTCCCGGGCAGCTCTGCAGGCTCTGTCCCCAGCACTGTCCAGCTCCAAGATACCCCAGTTCATGCTGGTGCCCACAGCAAGACTGATGGTCTCTGACTTGGGGCAGAAATGACAAGCTGGAAAGGGTAACAGATTCTGACCTGAGGAAAACCTCTGTTTCTGGTTTCTTTCTGCATCCCACCAGCCCCTGCATTCCTGCACACATTCATGTGTGTGCCCACACACAGCAGTGTTAGTGCTCACAACAATACTTTCATGTCGACCATGCTGTCCTGGATTAAAGATCAAAATTCTTCTTTTTTAGATTGATTTTAGAGAGAGAGGAAGGGAGAGAGAGAGAATCAAAGATCGGCTGCCTCCTGCACTCCCATTACTGGGTGGGTATTGAGCCCGCAACCCGGGCATGTGCCCTGACGCGGAATCAAACCGGTGACCTCTCGGCACTCAGGGCGTTGCTCAATCAACTGAGCCACACCAGCTAGGGCCAAGGCCAAAATTAACACTCCCTGTGAGGCTTTCTGTGCTCTGACCTCTCCAATCTCCTCTCCCATGCTTCTCTTCTTCTCTGTCTTTGCTTTAGCCACAGACCTACCTACAGTTTCCCCACCACACTAAGTTTGTCCCCAGTACAGGACCTTCACACATGCTGTTCCCTCCAGCTGAAATGCTCTTCCCTCTCTCTGCCTGGTTTACTGCTATTGATCCTATAGAACATCACTTCCACAAGGAAGCCTTCCCTGATCACCCCCAGGCTTCATAACCACCTGTGCTTTCCCACCACACTTAGCCTCCATTCGCTGGAGTATTTGGTGCTTATGTGACGTTATTCTGCTTTGTCCATTAGAGTGCAGACTCCACAAAAGTATGTCCTCTCATGTGGTACCCCCAACCCAGAGCAGCATTAAGGCTCAAGAAATAATTTGTTTAATGGAAGAACAGTAAGATAAATAAGGCCCTACCCCCACCACCTTGGGGGAGCTCCGAGCTGAGAGGGGAAAAGACCCAAGCCAGCAGTGATGCTGTGCTTTGCGGGCGGGGAGGAAGGCGGGTTGGAGGAAGCACCCGAAAATGGTGACAGTTAAACTAGGTCCTAAAGAATGAATAGGGTTTTGTTTTTAAATTAAGTCTTATTTATTCACATGTAGTTGTACACAATATTGTGGTAGTTTCAAGTGTACAGTATAATGACTTGGCAATTATATACCTTACAGTGTGATCACCACACTACGCTGCTGGTGTGTGGTAGACAGAGGCAGGGGTGGGAAAGCCAAGAATCAGGACTCGTGGTTACAAGCACCAGAAAGGCCCAGGGGGAACATGAGGGTCGCAGGCAGGGCTGGACGCGGGGCTCACGTTATGGCCAAGTTCACCGCGCTCTCCATCTCTCACTGTGCCCTTCTCTGTGCTGACTCTGTTCCCAGGCGGGCTCTCCCCTATGGCAAAGATAGCTTTCATGACCCCTGCTCAGCAACCCCGACGGGAGGGGAGCTTCCATTTCCAGGTCCTGGGCCTGATGCTGGTTGGACCAACCCAAGTTATGTGCCACCCTGCACCAGTCACCGTCACTCTGACTCTCTCATCTCGCATCCCAGGCTCACCCAGTGGAGCTGGGGGAGGATGCCGCCTCCCCTCCCAATTATATGACTTGAGAGTGGGGCAAGACTGATTTCCCAAAGGAAAATCCAGGCATCCTCCCTAAAAGAAGGGGCCTGGGGCCAGACAGACAGACAGACAGAGCAGCAGATGTTCACCACAGGCCAGACGGAGCAAGCCCGAGTGCCCAGCACAGGAGTTGAGCTTGTTCTCATGAGTGGTGGAAGCCACGTGTGTCCGTCCATATGCACTGATCTATGAGTAAGTGTGCAGCTGCCCAGAGCCATGACCTGGCTTCTCTTCTTTCTCCAGGAGAACCTGCAGATACATCTGAAGAGCACGCAGGGGCCCATCGAAGTCTACCTGTGCCCGGAGGAGATGCAGGAACCAGACAGCCCTGCCAAGGAGCCCGTCCCCTCCACGTCTACCCTCAGCCCCACTCCTGACTCTGCCCAGCCCAGCAGCAGCACCAACCCTGGGATCCTGGAACCCACGGCATCCCCAGGTAGGGTCCTCTGTCCAGAGGGACAGGAGGTGGGGCGTGCAGCTGGCCTTAGTTTCCTCTTTCATGTCAACATCTGTTGGGTAGTGGCCGGAGGTCTGGTCCTGCCTTGTGCGTGCGCGTTGCTCTCTGCGCTCTAAAGCACGCGCATTCCTCGTCTCATTGGCAGGCAGATCCTGCTTCAGGGAGGGGGAGCCAAGGGGCTTGGATTTGAATCCCAGCTCTTCTACTTACCAGCTCTGTGACCTTGGACAAGTTATTTAACCTCTCTTTGCCTCAGTTTCCTCATCTGTAAGTTGGGCCTAGTAGTTAATAGTTTCTACTTCCTAGGTTATTGTGAGAATTAAGTGAGTTTAATACAAGTAAAGCACTTAGAACTGTGCCTAGCAATAAATGTTAGCTGTTATTGTCATTATTACTGCCACGGCCATCACTACTGCTGTGACAGCTACTAACAGCAAAGCTCCTGGCTCTCTATAAGCCCACAGTAAATGGAAACTATACGTTTTCTGGGGAAGGCTCAACACTTTCTTGGTCAATAATAACAGATTTTTTGAACCATGACCATACCAGGTACACCCATTTCCACATTACTTTTCACAGCAGTTCTTGAGGTAAGTTTTATTACTCCCAGTTTACAGATAATAAACTGAGGCAGAGAGGTGATGTGACTTGCCCCAGGTCTCCGAGCTGGGAGACAACAGAGTTGTGTCTTGAAGCTTAGTGTCTACATCCTAGCCCAAGTGCTGTCTCGAGGCACAGAACAAATTGGGGCAGGGGATCCTGGCTCAGCCTTGGCTGGGAGGTGGACGGCACAGCTGAAAGCTGCTACACTCAGCAGCTAGAATGAGGCAGCTGCCAGGGAGTAAAGAGGTTGGAGAGGTCCCCAAGGGCTTCCCAGGGAGGGCAGGAGCCCGGAAAGAGTAGAAATGGGAACCTGTGAAGGCCCCTCTACTGGAATGGTTTTTGCCCTTTCCTGGGATCACGCATCAGGTCAGACTGGCAGGATTCTTCAAGGCTGTGTAGGCTGGTGATCCACCTTTTGTGTTCTTAGCAGCAGAATTTCCCTAAGTAGACCCCTAGTGTTTAAACAAATGCAAGGCGAGAACTGATCTGATAGAAGAGACATGTTTGGGAGGGTCTATAGAACACAGGTTGGATTCCATGTCTTTATTTAACTCAAGGATTGATAAACTATTGTCTGCAAGTCAAATGTGGCCTGTTTTTATATAGTTCATGAGCTAAGAATGGTTTCAATATTGTTAAAGAGTTGTAAGGGAAAAAAGAAAATAAAGTGACTGTGACAGAGACTGTAAGTTTCCTACAAAACATAAAATACTATCAGCCCTTTACAGAAGTTTGCTGACCCCTGATCTAACTCAACCCTTCAGTTTTCATATGAACACAACAAGCCCAGGGAAGACAAGTGACTTCCCTAAGGTCACACAGCAAGTTGGTGATAGAACTTGTGTCTGTAGGGAAATAGACAGTAAGTCAAGAAATATGCTTGCCTTTCTTTTGCACTCCTCCACCATGGCACTGCTCAGGCTCATGCCATCTCTCTATCACCAAACTGTCTCCCTCTGCTTCCAGTCCATTCGGCAAACATTGATTACCACCCTCGCCCTCAGTATGCAGTATATCCACTCAAGGGCTGAGTCTTCTCCATGCTTATGTCCATATTGCTCTAGGTGCTTCCTATCCAGGCCTGCTGGGATTACCTGGCCAAGCTTCTTGGGTCCTCCACAAAGTTCAGTTGCCCACTCCCAGCATGGTCCTCTCAGCTCTTAAGCAATGTCCTCCCAGACTCCCAACCCAGACTCCCAACTCTTCTCTAGTGATCTCTCCCGTGTCCTGGCCTGGTCGGGGGACCAGGGCTTCTCCCTTCACCAGCCATCTGTCCCTCAGGGCACCTCCCAGTGCCTATCTCCAACTCCAGACCTGTGCCCCGCCCTGTTCTCCCTCCTGCTTCGTCTGCCTTCTCACTCCACTGTCAACAAGTACACTGTTGTCTAAAGTTACAACTACTTTCACTTCAGTTGTCCTCTGAGACCTTGGGCACAGGGGAGGGGGGGAATTACGAAGTAAGCAAGGGCAAGGTTTTTGCTTCAGTTGTATAGCTTAAGAGGCTGAGGCTCGAAAGGAGTAGAGGCTTATAAAGAGCAGTTGGTGGTGGGACCAGCCCAGAAGTCGGCTCTGTCTACCTTTGCTATGTGGCCCCTTAGTGTTATCCCTGCTGAAGGGAACAGAGGGATCTTTCTGGATGGTGTACGCACATGCACACACTCTATGTTCTGGCCTGAAGCAGGGTCATTGTGAGGCCTGAGTGCCTGGGGTCTCGCCCACAGAGGAGGACACTGTGGTCTTGGGCCCAGGTTCTGGCTCTAGTTTGGCATCCCAGGGGAATCGCTAATCCATTTGGGGCCTCAGATTCTGTCATCTGTAATGAAAGGGGTTTGAATGGGAGTCATCTCTAATATCCTTCCAGGCTCTGATGTTCTGAGCTAAACCTAAATGTGGCTGATGGCACAGGAGTTAAAATTGGGAGACTCGGGTTTGAGTCTGTACCTTACCTCCTGTGACTTGGTGACAGTGGGCAAGTCGCTTTAACCTCTCTGAGCCTCTGTTCCCACATCTCTAAAATGAGGACACTGGAAACTCCCTCATGATCATTGGGTGGGTTACAGTGTGCATGTGATTTTTCTTTTTTTAAATTATCTTTATTGTTGAAAGTATTTCAGATGTTCCCTTTTGGAATGTGATTTTTTAAAAAGCTGATGAGCCCTGGCCAGTGTTGCTCAGTTGGTTGGGTGTCGTCCTGTGCACCAAAAGGCTGCCAGTTAGATTCCCCGTCAGGACTCATGCCCAGCTTGCAGGCTCGATCCCTGGTGTGGGGCATGCAGGAGGCAGGCGATCGATGTTAAGCTCTCACATTGATGTTTCTCTCTCTCTCCCTCTCTCTTGCTCTAAAAATTCAATAAACTATTCTTTAAAAATTTTTTTAAAACAAAATAAAAGAGTAAAAAGCTATGCGAACTGAGCACCTACTGTGTGCGGTTTGGGAGATACGGAAGTGAATACGAGCCATTCAGAGTGAGGTAAAGGCACAGATGTGACAAAGAGTAATTCTCTTCCGGATCTGATAAAGCCTGAGAGGGAGCAAGGTCCTGCCGGTAGCAGAGGCTCTCACACGTGTTATCCCAGCTACTGCTTCCAGCAACTCACTGAGGTGGATCCTTATTTTTTCTTGTGATAAAACTGAGGTGCCAGGTCCTACAGCTGGTGATGTGGGGTCTGAGCCCAAGTCCTTCCCAGAACCGAACCAGGCCTCTTACTATAATACCTGCAGGCTCCTGCAACGAGATAAACAAACATTTGGGGTTGGTTTTTTTTTTTCATTTTAATACATTTAATTGACCTCTTTGAGCCTCAGTTTCCTCATCTGTAAGTAGGGGTAACAACATTGACACTTGAGTGTACTAGGAGGTGAAATGTGCCTCTGCCTGAGAGCAGAGCTGGGCCCAGCGAGCCCTCGGGAAATGGGAGCCTTTGTAGTTATTGACAAGGGGCAGCGTGCAGACCTGATCCGGGGCTTCTGCACACCAGCCGTTCTTTACCTGCACTTACCACCTAATCCTCTCAGCAACCCTCTGAAGTTGGTACAGTCATCCCCGTTTTAGAGGTGAGGAAACACAGGCTCATAAACGTAAAGTCACTTGCCCACAGTCACGCAGCTAGTGAGGCCAAGGAGTCAGTGTTCCAAGCAATGCTTGGTTGGGCTTTAAGGAATGACCCAAACGGTGAGATTCTAGGCATTGGGATATATTTGGCAGTGGGTTTCTGTATTTCTGTGCCCTACTCCACATCTCTGTATAGGAAATCACCTTCTTTCCTCTACATGGAGTTGAACTTGGTGTCTGAAGAGTAGCTGATGGCCAGTGCGCTAGAGCGGTTGAGTGTGAGATGTGGGAGGGCGGTAGGCAGGGGCCAGATCATGCAGAACCTTCTCAGCCCTGGTAGGAACTTGCATTTTATTTTAAGTTCTCTTTATATCAGAGCATAGACTGCAAGGGGCAAGAGTCGAAGCAAGGTGACTGCCAGGAGGCTCCTGCAGTGGCCCTGGAGGGAGAGGAAGGGGCTGGGACAGGGATCGAAGCAGTGGAACTGAAGAGAAATGGACAGCCTGGGGAATTCGTGCAGTTGTGGAGACGAACTTGCTGCTGGATCGGATGCAGGGGAAGTGGCAGGATTACAGGATCCTTGGGCCTTTTGGCCTGGGCGAATGAGTGGGTGGTGGTTCGTTCATTGTGAGTGAGCACAGGCAACTCGAGGAATTTTACTCTGAAGGGGAGTGGTAACATGGGCTGGTAACGGGAGAGTCATGAGGTCAGAGACGGATGCTTTTTTTGATGTTGATTTTTAGAGAAAGAGAGAGAAACATCGATTTGTTGTTCCACTCATTTATGCATTCATTGGTTGACTCTTGCATGTGCCCTGGCTGGGGACAGAACCCACAACCTTGGCATATTGGAACAATGCTCTAACCAACTGAGCTATTCAGCCAGGGCGAGAGGGTGCCTTTTTTTTTTCTTTACTCTTCACCCTAGGATATTTTTTTCCCATTGCTTGTCAGAGATCGTGGAAGGGAGAGAGAGAGAGAAACACGGATGCGAGAGATACATCAATTGGTTGCCTCCAGGGCGCCCTCACCAGGGCCAGGGATCGAGCCTACTTGAGTATATGTGCCCTTGGCTGGAATCGAGCCTGGGACCCCTCAGTCCTTGGGTCGACACTCTAGCCACTGAGCCAAACCGGCTAGGTAATGGGAGGATGCTTTTTTAAATACAGGAGTTATTGGAGTATGTCTCTGTGTTGATGGGAATGATCTAGAAGAGTGAGAGAAATTGATGATGCAGGGGGGAAAAAAAGATTTCCGGGACAAGCGCCTTGATGGTGAAGGAGGGTGGGTTTTGGGAGCAGGAGACCCCAGCCACTGTGAGACAAGAGAGGATAGTGCAGGAGAGTGAGGGCAGGTGTTAGAGCTGGTGCCGGGAAAGGGAGGGTAACCCTGTGCCACTGGGTGTGGGGCAGGGTGGGAGAGCAGAGAAGGGTACTCAGTCATCCAGAGAACCGGAAAGCTGTTCTTGTGCTCCGAGGTCTGACCAGAGGCTCTGGCACCTGGGCCAGTCATAACCCTTGTCTTTTTGTCTCCAGCGCCACTGCTGACTTCCCAGCAGGTCCTGCTGCCACCAGCATCCCTTGTCCCTCTGGAGGCCACTGACAGCATGCTGGAACTGCCACACCCTCTTCTGCAGCAGACCGAGGACCAGTTCCTGTCCCCAACCCTGACAGACAGCTCCCCTCTGATCAGTTTCTCTCCGCCCTTGGACCAGGATGACTACCTGTGGGGCCTGGATGGGGGCGAAGGCATCAGTGACCTCTTTGACTCCTATGACTTTGGGGACCTGCTGATTAATTGAGTCACCCTGCCTGCCCCCAGCAGCTCTGCCACTGTCTCTACCTCCTCACAGACAGACTGACAGGCCCTCTGCCTGCACGGGGACATTGGACACAAGATGCTACCCTTGGGGTATGGGGGTCTCCTCTCCTTCCTGCTCCCCCTTCCTGCCAGCCGAAGCTGTCAGGGGGGTTTGTGGAGGGTATGGGTGAGGATCATATCAGGGTTTGGGTCCTGTCTTTCGTAGTGGAAGCTGGGCCTGGGAAGGCCCATTTAGCCTTCTGACCTCTAACATGAAGGGCCACAGATGAGATGACCAGGTCCAGGGAAAGGCCCTGCCACTGCCTTTTGAGGGGTAAATTGAACCCTCAATTTATTGAAGAGCACTTACTGCATTGGTATTTATTTCAGGTTGAGTTTTGTTTGTATGTTTTCCCTGAGTTTTAGCAGGGACATTGTTCTAGATCTAATAAGACTTCTCAGACAGGCCCAGCACTGTCTGCTGTCCAAGGGCAGCCCTGGGCTTCCAGGGACCCAAGGCCAGCCCCCTGATTTTCCCACCACGGTGGGGACAGGGTCTCTGAGGGGCCATCCAGTCTGCTGGCCAGATCACTGCACTTCGGCTCCTAGTTCTAGTAAGCGGTAGCTGAGGCCCCAGCCCTGGCTTCCTGGCCTCTGTTCTCCAGATGGTTCCAGGGAGCCATCCCAGCGCAGGTGAACTGAAACTCCTGAGGAAACAGAACCAACCAGTTCAGGAGCCTCCCTCCCTGTGGAATTCCTTATTTCCCTCCCTTAGAATGTAAAAGATGATCCTTCAGGGAGACCCGGACGCCCCTGAGGAAGCAGGGACAGGAGAGTGGGGGCGGCTGCAGTGGCTGCCCCGGGCACCTCTCCGTTTTTGCCTCTTGCTGGGATGGGCTGTTTCACACTGAGGACCTGGGAGGCGGAGGCGGAGGCCAGTGCACCGTGGAGAGGGTGAGATTAAACAGGAAACTGCCAGCACTCACCCCCTTCTGTAGCCACCGGTATCCTCCCCCTTTCTGGAAGGATGTTTTTTTTGCTTTGTTTGTTGAAGGGGTGATTCTTTAAGGACATCCTCCCCCCAGCTCTCACAGACTCCCAGGGACAGAGGTGACCAGGGCTTGATGGCACGTTGACTCCTTTTGTCACAAGAATGCAGGAGAGGTGGCAGAGAGGGGTCTTCACTGCACATCAGACCTGGGCAGCTAATGGAGAGATGGGCTCATGTTACCTCTTCAGACCTGGGGTTCTGAGAAGGTCTTTTGGCCTCACCCTGC